GAGAGGTTCCAAACTGTGCCATATGGTCTCTCCTTGACAAAAGACATGGAAGAAAGGTTATATTTGCTGACCCTGTAAATGCCTTTGTAAACATACCTCTTCCTAGGGCTGCTCGTTTATGGCAAAAATCATAATCTCGATTATTTGGGTCAATAATTGATATCACGATTATTAAAAACGATTATCCATTTACTTTGAAAACATCCATTTATTGAAAAAAAAAAGTGAACAGTATGTTTTTAACAGTTGATTACCATTAACTTTAAGTATAATTCAACTGAAAAAACAATAAAATAAAAAATGTATTAAAAAAAAAAAAAAAAGTTTTATTTTGATTATGTTGTTTTCATAATCGTTGCAAGCCAAAATCGTAATTGCGATTAAAATACGATTAATTGAGCATCCATACCTCTTCCTTTATCCCTGTTCTTCAGTCATTTAAAGGAAGAGGTATGGATGCTCAATTAATCGTATTTTAATCGCAATTACGATTTTGGCTTGCAACGATTATGAAAACAACNTCCCCGTTTCACTTCCAGAAACATACACACGCTCGCTCACTGTCGCTCTACCACATCTCTCTCTCTCTCTCAAGTAACCCAAACCTGTTTTGAAAAATGTATGAGTAGAAAGTAAGGTATTTCTGTTTAAAAATGTTAAGAGTAAAAGTAAAAAGTCGTCAGAAAAAGATGTAGTGGAGTAAAGTACTGATACCAGAAACTTAAGTACAGTAACAAAGTATTACTCCACTACTTCCCACCTCTGTTCTCACTTATGTGTTAAACAACTTTGCAGAAAGGGTTTTAAAAGGTCTTGTGACAGACATGCAGTCCAGTTCATGTTTTTTCTATCTATGTGGTAGTTTCATCCAACAGTACGACACAACTTTTCAAAACACAATTCCCTTTTTGTTTTGACAGCCTGCAAATAGGGCAAATAGGTCTCCAGACAAATTAATCAAATATTCATTATATTCTATACCAACACTTCCTGCAGTAGCCAAGTTCAAATACAAATATTAATAAGATCTGAGTACTTTTATTATTTTCCTGCTTTTTTCCCCTTCTTTTTTTTCACTTGTATTGTCATTACACAGTACAGGTAGCCTACTATGTAACGAAATGGTTTCTCTGCATTTGACCCATTCTAGTGTTAGGAGCAGTGGGCTGCCATTATGAACGGCGCCCGGGGAGCAGTGTAGGGAACGATGCCTTGCTCAGGGACACCTCGGTATCACTTGGTCTTGCCGGGACTTGAACTGGTGACCTTCCAGTTGCCAAGCCAAGCCAAGCCAAGTCCCTATGGACGTCGTCAAGAGTATTACGACAAAGACTGATTTATGACTGTCATTTAATGTTCATGCATAGATCTTTAAATACAAATTAAATGGTCTTTGTTGCAAATGTGTGTTCGACCAAAAGGTCCTATGTGTCTGAAAGTGAAAATCTGTATTATTTAGTTGTTGGTAAATTGTGCAGGGACGTGTTGACAACCCTGGTGGACAATTCATCATCTGGGAATGAGTGGCAGGCCCCACAGGCCCATAAGGGCTGAGAGGTTAACCTGCTGAGGGCCTGGAAACACTGAATCAACGTAATCACATTGATCCCTGCGTCACATTCCTCCCTGGAGACATGACTGAGGGGTAGGCAAACTGTTCGCCTATCAAGGGCCTGTCAGAGGAGTTGAAGCCCAGAGGAAAGACCAGGGGCCACCCAGAAATCACAGAAACCATCCGAAAAAGTGTTGTGGAGGACATAATGACAGAGCAAAAGTGGTGTAATGTTCAAGTTCACCTCCATCAATTGCAATAACTTTGGCGGTCCGCCGACTTTATGTATGGAGCCATGTTGCTTGGTCAAAATGTGTCCATGACTTTTATGAATACAAAACAATTGGCATCCACCACAGGATGCCAATCTGAGGTGTGCTCTGTGTGCTAATTAGCAAACGCTAACATGGAAGACAGTCAATATCTTTAAGAGCAAATGTTAAACATTATGTTAACACTGTCCATGTAGGCTAAGTGTGTTTGAATTACAGACATTTAAAGAAATCACGTCAAATTGTGTCAAAGGAGATTTATGACTCCAAAACGAATGGCATCCACCTCCACTACATCGTGTTTGCTACAGTAGCATCAGTGCTAACTAGCCAACGCTAACATGGCAAAGATAGTCTATATGCTAACAACATTGTCTACATGCTAACAACGTGGCTGTTGTCCGTAGCTATGGCTAATTTGGCATGAAGGTTTACTATCGAGAATTAATTATCTAAATCCTTTTTTTTTTTCTTTTTTTTAAACTCTGACAGTATAATTGTAAAAGTTACAACAGTCTCTTGAGCTTTTTCATAGGCTAGCAAAACATTCATATCCAACAGGGAGAAAAACTGCAGGGAGTTAGAGTTAGCTACCCTATGTGGCAGAAAATAGGTGGCCTAAAGCTACAATTCAATATAAAACTTGTACTTTCCAGTATTGTTGATCTTAAATAAAAAGTTCTGAAATTAAACTTTGTAGGACTCCACAGGAGGTACTTACCATGCACTTAACGGTAAATTATGTTCCTTCATCCTGTGGAGCAGAAATATGATAAATATTAAAGAGGCCCCTGAAAAAGCTGTAAGCATTCTGTTCTGTAGCCTAATTCTCTCAGTATTACAGTACTTCAAATAATCATTATATGAAAACAGGGTTTGCCTCAGTAAAAATAAACTTGACTTTCCTCTTTGTCAAAAGCCCAAAGAGTGGACAGTTTTGATTTGTTTTAGTTTAGTTTGTTGGAGTTGTGATATCGGATAGTCAATGTTTGGGAATTTGTAAATCCTCAAGGCAATACACCTGTTTTATTTATTTCAATTGTCTAACTAATAATTAGTTGGATGGCCAGGCGGGACACACACTGGCACCTAACCAAATTGAGTCTAACATTCCATTACTTTCTTGGTCTAGTAGTGACTAGAGGTATAATGGTATATATCTGTTTTTGGAATACAATTATTTTTAAGATCTGAAAGATTATTTTAAAATCTCACCCGCTTACATCATAGGGTGTCACTGCAAACTCATACATAAAGAGTTGATTAAGGGTTAAATTAAATTAAGAAAAGGTGGTGCAAAAGCATGAATGACAAACAGAATTTGGATAACAACTTTCAAATAGCAAAGACCATACACTTATGTAGTTTGACAATAAAACCCTAAATTAATCTGTTACTGTATGTATTGCCCTCAATTACCTTCTTATTGTGTGGCTCCCAGCAAATATTACATTTTCCTGAACATATTTCCTTAATAATAAGTACATTTTTCACAAACAAACTTGCAAAAGATACCTAAAAAGAGATAGAGGAAGGAAAAGAACGATGAGACAAGTCTGGCTTTTGAATAAGGGGTATGACAAGGTAGGTTCCACTCCGAACAGCAAAAATCCCTCTGATCTGACACGTTGATTACACAATCCTCTCTGCTAGAGTTCTGGGGCTCTGTGTTTTTGGCTCAAGGCTTATTTGGTTTATTAGTGTATGAGGGGGTGGCATATCACATACTGGTTTAACTCAAAGCAAGCTTGCACAATAGTTATGACAAGGTTTGCATACCCCAAACTCTAATTTGACATGTACTCAACATTTTATGCAAATCCATCCGAAACAGCCACTGAGTAGTTATGCTAATTTACAGAGGGGTTGTATTTAACTGTCAGCTTCATTTGATACGTTTCCTTAGTCCTCTAAAAATGTCAAAACCTGAGCTTAAAGCAGCAGAATACACAAGCTCTCACGGAATTACTGATAGAGCTATGTGGTAATGTACTCCTTGTTATAGTCAATGACTACTGAAGATAAATTAGAGAAAACTCGAATAAAGCAGCGCTGCAAATCTGCTTTAAGGAAAGCAGACAGTTTTGACACCATCTGGAAAGATGCTCCCTTTATTGTGTTGCAATTAATTATATTGGTTCTAGTAATAAAAGTCGGGCTCAAATGTAAGCCATTAGAAATAAGAAGTGTTTTACCAAATCACTCTGAACTAATTAAATGACGTGTTGAATTTAGAACTCACTAACAATTAGTACAACAGAAATAACTCATTCTAGAACACATCAAATTTGGTTTTGATCTACTTGATTAAAACCACATTTGAATTAAACATAGAAACATTGATTTCCTCTGTAAAAACAGAACAATATTATCATTCAATGACTATATCTTTTTAAGAAAAGAGTGTTTTTAAAATGATTTTATTCAATATTGACACAAGAGCATTCTTATCACAGGCGAAAACGATAAGTGGTGCAGCTTTTGTCATCATGTAACCACATTTCTAACTGCAGGTAAACAGACTTTACCTCAAAGCAAAAACCAAACTCATCTGATTCAGGCTAGAAGTAGCACGTGCACGTACAGCAGTGTGTGCCCATCATGTTGCTATACATTCACGAGGCACATGTATTTGGTTTCCATATAAATATGTTCAGATCATTTGTTAATTAAACTGTATTTATTCATTTTCACACTTCTAAATACACAAATAACAAATAGCTGATAAAAAGCCATTAATAGTTCACACAAGCCCGCTGTTGATTATCTCTAAAATAAAGTACTCTCTGATTAAAATAAAATCACATCCATATTAGATTATTCTGTTTCAATTTAGTTTGCAAACTTTCCTCATGTTCTTTCAACACAGGCAGCAAAAAGCTGTTGAACCAATTCCATTCAAAATCAAGAATAACTCAAATCTTTTGCGATTGGTCCTTTACATTTCACAAAGTGCAGGTACAGGTACAGTAACGTTCGTCCAAATAACGGTCTGAGATAGCAAATGACTAAATGCAGAGAAAAAGAAACAGCAAACCATCTAGCACTGTATTTAGCCTCAGACAAAACAAGCAAAACAAAGCTTGAATGTTACTTCTGTCAACACCTAGAATGATTTTATTTTGACTAAGAAACAATCTCTTAGTCAAAAGAAACAATCTCACAGAACAATTTGTGGATGTTTAAATGTGTTCTGTCTTAAAAGGTATATTAGAGCCAACTAAAGGTGGGTGGGGGGTAAGGTCAAAAAGTAACCATTTAAAGGGCCTAGAAAGTGCTAAGAGAAGGTACAAAGTTAGTTTAAATACAAGTTTCAAATAAAGCTTAAACATGTGTGTCAGTGTTCAAGTCAAGTTAATTCTCAAGGTGGGACTAAGTTGGAGGACACTCCCAGAATCTCAAAGTTATTATTAAAATTCACCAAATAAGACGCAATCATCAGTACCAGTAGTCTCATGTAGGGGAGGGATGAGTCAACTCAGACTAGAATCCACAAGACGCCACGACAATATCTCCTTAAAAACAATACATCACTGACATCCATTTTGAATTGCACCTTCTAGTCCCTTTTAAGTTATGTGGGGAATATCGACTGATTATTAGTGCACATATTCATCATCACTGAAGTCCGAGTCGTCGGCCTCCACCTCTCCTTCGATCACAGACTTCTTCCCTCTGCAGCACGACACCGCCAGACCGATGAGGAAAGCCTACAAATATATAAAGGAGAGCACACAGGAAATATTTCATGAGGATCATTTGATCAATAGAATGCATCAACAGCACCAGGAGGCTATTCAACATTTTGCTGAGGAGATTAGCTGCGCGCAGAAAATCATTTTTCAGTAACATTTTTTCCTGAGAAGAAATTAAATGATGTGCCTGGGCTCTCACACTGTTCCCCCTGAAGAAAATACTGTTTAACCGCTTTTAAACTTAATTACATTCTTTAATAGAACTTGTTTTTGTAAATGTTGAGTTGCTCAAAAGATACAAATAATAATAATAATAATGTCAATATGTTTAATATCTAAGAGAAATTGTCTGAGATTTTTCTCCCCTCAATAAAAAAAAAAGAAAGAACATTCAACTGTGATTCTCACTCAACTTTAAATTAAAGAGATGACATTGTGTATACATCCTTGGACTTACCCCGATAAAGGCCCAGTTACCAAAGTAGTAGATGGTGCTGAAGAACCAGAACTTATGGAGGAACAGATATGATCTTGTCACAGTGCACTGGTCTGAAAGGGACAGAGAAAACAGGAGCATTCAATCATTTCATCTATACAACAGATTTGTACTTGTATTCAACAAAGGGTCCCCTGATTGTTAAACACAGATATTCTAACAGAATATATTTAAATAGGGAATAATGTTAAATTAAGTGGTAAAGAAATGAGTTTCCAGCTGTTTTTCTGGTGTAACATTTCTGCATGAAGCCAATGAACACCAATGGAAATACCTTATATGTATCTAAAAGTAAATAGGTAACTAAAGTTTGGCCAATAGGTTGTTGGTTAACAAAATAAAAAACAACATTTTTGATTTGTTCATTTAATATAAACAGATGAAAAAACGGTTTTACAACGATAAAATGTGACTGCCCTACCCACAAATCTTTATTTAAAATAATATAGGTTCATTCCTGTCCTTTTAAACACTTATCAGAAACTCAAGTTTAAGGTTCTTTGCCATTCCTGAAGAATGCTGCATATTTGCCAAAACATTCAGCAATTTCTTATTAGTGAAGTTACATTTGAAATCAACGATTCTCAGCTCATCAGAATTTGCATTAAAACAGATATAACTGTTATTTTTAAATTGTAAAAACTGAGCTGTTCCAGTTCAAAAGGCCTTTAGGTGAGTCTTAGCCAAGAATCCCATCCTCTTTAAAATGAAAATATTTTTATTTAAAAGTTTGCTATATCACACCTTGACAACCTCTGCATTTTTCTAGTTTTGATTCATTGATACAGAAACCCTTGAAGGAAGTAGAGGGAATCGTTGCAGAGAGAAGCACAACATAGATTTCTCCTACAGAGTGACTGATGGTTGGCACAGGTAGAGGAAGAGTGACGACAGGACGAAGACAGACAGACAGCCCGAGGAAACAGGGTTTTCGTCTTTAGAGAAATATGAGAGGTAACTGGTTCCGGGAAAACAGCATGAGTGCAATAAAAGGTGACATATATTGCTAGATGGGGTTAATAAATGCACAAGTGTAGCTCTTGTTATACATCTTTGTTATAAATGGCTCTTCAGTCACTTAAGAGCCAAAAACAGGCTGCTATAACCATGGAGCAGTGCCTCGGGCAGATGTGTCACTATAACTAAAGAAGACAACCGGTCTGCTGAAAAGAGGAAATCCATGTCACTGTCAATGTGAATGTGGCTTAACCAGTCGATAAAACAGGGATGATTTAACATTTAATAGAGCCTTGCATCAAAAATAACCAGTATTACACATTTCAGAGGTAAAAGCGTGACACGTGAGGAGACACCAACAAATTGTGAAGACAGTGAAACATAGGTTATGGGTTATGCATGAAACCCCGATTCTCGGAGAGGGGATTAAAACGAATTTGGGACCCTCTCAAACTCTCAAGATTATTACGTGAAATGGAATTCAAGACATACTTGCTATAGTGTCCTCTTTAGGGTGAAACGACATCTATCATAGGGCTGGGCGAAGTGAAAAAAATCTATTATCTATGTTTGACCAAATACCTTCATATCCATATGTTTACAATATCATAGGGCCGACCATTGAAGCTTTCGCAGAATATTCACATAATAAGATCTTTGAGAAAGCAGATCAAAGTATATATTAGAATTGTGTTGAAAATGTGAGCATTTAGCTGTAATGCAGCCTTTAAAATCAGGAATAGACACTTACTATATAACAATATACACAATATAAGTCTCATATGACAACATCAATATAAAAGCCCTATTACATTAGACAGCCGAACTACATTTACAAGAGATCTCAATAGTCAGGATGTTAAATATTCAATAAGCTATAACAAAAATAAAAAATGGTATTGTTGTATACGTTGGGCTCAATCTAAGTTTAACATATGTGAAGGATGTCTTATTGTTCCCTTTTCATTAGGACTACATGCTGATTGATGTCTTGCTGAAGCTGCTTGGATGCGCCTTTCATATCCAACAACTAAGTGCAGCAACAATCATGAATAAACCAGTCCAGACAACACTTCAGTTACCTGCGATGTCCTTGCCACACAGTAAATGGAAAAGTTCCCTAGCAAGAAGTATGAAAAGCTTTCTCAGCAAGCTAACCTTGTTTACTAAGCAGACGCTAACTCACTTACTCACCAAAGTAACATTTGTTTGAACGTGAATGTAATAAGTTAAATCTATTTCATAAACCAATTTGAACCTGACAGGAAGTTTTAAGCCATTTCTCTGGGTGAACCTCTGAAACCAGCATTGGTCGAGATAAACAAGCCTTTACTCTGAAATGTGCTATTACCAAGAACAGTTCAATCAATATTGACTAGGCTCTGTGATCATAAATATAAACACATCAAAACCAAAAACTTGTTTATTTCTTATGAAAAAAAACAAATAGCTTTCTGTGTCTGTGGAGCCGCTCTGTGCTTTATTCTCTTGACATCACCTTTGAGTCTCAGCCCTCAAGTTTTTAACAGAACTTGATCCTGCTATTGATCTGTCTGGCATAGACGGCAGGAATAATTTAAGAACTCTTAAGCTGAGTCATTCTCCTTTATGTGCATGCATGGGTATTGGCAGGAATGGGAAATGCTGATGACGTCAAGTGCGGCAAGTGCCATTGATATGCATTCGTCTCTGCTCCAATTGTTTTTGTGTGAAAACACAGGGAGAAAAAGGAAGCGGTGGAAGAAAAAAAACGACTTGCCTTCAGATCACTTGTATTAATTAACTTACCATGTACACTGAAGCAACAAAAGGAAAAAGTGACTTCAATATACTCCTAATCAGACTTGTATTATTTCAACAGAACAAGGAAAGAGACACGTTCAACAAAGTGGAGACGAAACGCTCTGTCTGGCTATGTTCGAGAGCCATCTGGAGCATTAACGCTAACCCTGCTGAGCTGCTCCTATCACACTGTTCCTTCCAGAGCTCTTCACACTGCCTTGAACCCCATGAGCAGTACAATCAGACCTCAGTGTGGCTTAGAAATGAGCCATTAAAGTAAGCATTTTCACAAGTGTTCCTCTTCAGAGTGTTCACCATTAGAGCAAATGACATAGTCACAGCAGCTGAGGATGTACCAACAATCAGCTCGTACTCCACCAAGATCAACACATAATAGAAGAAGCTACAGTAGTCTAGCTGCATCCCCATGACCCCCTCTCTTTTCCTCTGGTACCTCAGCCATCTGTAGCTCTCCAGCTGCTCGCCTGAATTGCAGGGCTCCGAGTGGGACCTACAGATGGTTCACAACAGTGGTCTGCCTAAATATATTATCATGTACACCACTGACCCACTTCACCTTGAAATCATTACCGTTTCTCCGATAAGAGCACGGGCACGGTGTGCGGGTGCAGGAAATGTCACCTTGACTCATGATACCTGGGTGAGTGCTGCCCTGTGTAGCTTGATGCATAATGTATAACTTTCATATCATTCAAATACAAACAGAAAATCCTGAACACACACACACACCCACACCCACACCCACACCCACACACACACACACACACACAGTGCTCTTTGTGAAAGCGTCTCTATCAGCAAGGCCTTGTGTTCCTCCACTGTATGCTTTTACTTCCTCTCCGCCTTAAAAGCAATAGAGTACTTTCATCGCAAAGTCCTTTGAGGATGTTGATGTTCCTTTCAAAGTTCCACTGAACTATTTTCAAATTGCTGGCTTCTCATATTGTCAATACAGTTTACACAAAAGCACATTTTTGCTTGTTCTAATTTGCAGCGAAATCGATTTAAGTAAGACATCCTTATAAGACAGAGATGGCAATAAATGTACACATAACCTTATTTAAACCAATCACCAACAAAGAAAATAATTGCTATTCACAATATGGATCTTGTTTCCTAGAGATATATCTCCAAAACAATTTGACTTCAGCCAATCACACAACATGCCAACAACCCTTTCATAATTTAGAAGTTTCAAATATTCACTCCATTTTTATCTCATTTTTGGTCTCCACCATCTCCTGAGGGAAATACATGGACCATTACGTCACAAGCTCCACTATGTGTACCAGCTGCTCCCTAAGGTTTTCTATGTGCTGTTTTGTGCTTGGCAGGTAGTAGGTTTTTCAGAGCTTTTTTTTCAAGGTAAAAACTTGAAAAATACCAATTAGAGCAGCTTTCGGCAAAGAGTATCATTTTAATGACACCTTATTTGTAGCCCTTTTCAGAAAGTGTTTTTATTCTATTAGTTCACAGTAGAGGTCTTTTGTCAGAATACTAAGCAAACAGATTTCATTTGAAAGTGTATTTTCCTTCAAAAGGTAAGGGGTGTCTGTGGATTATAAGATGCTTAACGAGAATAGCTTTTTGATTGACACATTCCATTGTAATCCAAATTGATGATGATCCCCTCGATACAAAGAAAATTACTATTAATTTGTGTTGGGGTTCAGGGAGCCTCCTGTTGAAATTGCTTAGGCACCTGACATCTCAGAGGCAACACATACAATTATGACCATCTTCCCCCTGAAGCTCTTTCAAACTGCGCAGCGGAAACTGGCAAGTTGCTAGGAAACCAGCAGCAGTCCACAGTTTAAAAAAAAACACTCCTCTTTATTAGAAAGTTTCTTCACTGGGATTCAAACTAGAAATAATGTGATATATCTTCTAAGCTGAAAACTGGACTTCAGCATAGTTAAAATTCAGCTTGAACTTCCAGCGAGACATTTAGAGAATGGCTCGGGCGTGAGGGGTCGAATACCACAATAATTATAATTGTGTAACTGAGAGTGTCGACCTTAATGGTGGAAAAGAGCAAGAAAATCATTAGCAGGAAAAGTGGAACGATGACCCAGAGGGCATTTCTTGGTAAATTGAGTTACTGTGTCAAAAACCAAAACATGTGTGGATCTATTGATATGAAGGGTGAAATAAACTCTGCTGCAAAGTGTCGGAGCCGCTATTGCATTAGGAATGAAGTTGTTGTTGACATACTCAGGTTTTAAAATGTGCCTTTTAATGTAAACAAGATGCACAGGGTTTATTAAAGAGTGTAACACAATCGACCTAAGATAATTGTTATGTTTTGGGAAGACATTTTGTCAGGAGTGGTGTCTGGCATTAGTCATCATTAGAAATGGACATAAAGACAGAGAAATCTATAATGAAAGTGGTCATAATGATGTCAAATCAAATGCATCAATTACTGACATTAGAACTTCTTTAAATTGGTAATGGTCCATTAACATTTAAAAATCCTCAACTTTAAAATAAGATCATTTGAAGCCAAAACAAATGCAACATAAACGGAAATCATCAAGTACAAGTATGTAAGATGGTAGATGTTGAAGAACTTTGATGCCAGTCACAGTCTGCGATCAAAGCGCTTCGCCCACCATGAGAAGCAGCGGGAGCATCATGGTAGAAAGAATTATTTGAAAGAGCAGCCTTGTCTAATGCTGAGAAGTTTTCAGCAAGACTCCACGAAGACATACATCTTTCGGGGATTCATTAATAAAATGACTTGAAATAAATAAAGTGATTTACTACACTAAAACCACATTTGGACTAAGTGCAGCATGGGTTGAAGTTTGTGTCAATGGCACGAGTGAAAATGAGTGGATATAAAATGAATGGATTAAGATTGAACTTTTCCCTGTCTGGAATTAACAGTTGATTAAATAAGGAGGAAAGCAGTATCACTACTGTGCCGATACTCTGATTCTTCTTTTGCTTAAATCCGTTTTATACCCCGTGTTAAATCACATAGTAGACTTCAGAGTTCAGGTTGTCTGGGGCCATAGCAACTAATTCCTAAGGATTCATTTCCATTTGAGTACATACTCCAAATGAGTAATGGTGTGGTAATGACCTTAGAGAAGATAATGGAGAGCTTGGCAGCGAGCACCTGCTCATCAAGATGTTGGCGTCATTACATCACCGTGACCGACCGGCCAATCAGTCAGCAGGCTGACTTATACCCTCTTTTGCCTTAGCTGTGGTTTGATCCAGTGCCACACTAAGGATTATTACAAAGTGATGCTCTCCAGAGCCTCTTCTCAATCTGAGGCCATTTTCTACCCATTCTTATTTTAACATCTACAGCAATGTGTCAATGCATATCTAAGTTTGTGAATCTCTTGGTCATGCCAAATACAAAAAAGAAATCTCACAGGAGAGGGAGAATGGCATGGAGAATACTATTTCTATTTTTACAAAGCATACAGATAGAGTACGCTGCCTAATGCTTTGCTGTTATGGCTCTACATTTAAAATAGCAAAAGATGAATACAAGGAAACCGAATTTGAATATTATAATACATTATGTTACAGATTTCAACATGATAAGGATTAGATCATCTGAATGTAGATATTATAGGGTAAGGTTTTTGAACAGTAAGGTATGTGACCATACTGTACTCTTCTATGTATTTTGTATTGTACATTATTTTATGATAAAATGTACATAACCTGCATTGAACAACGTAAATGCCTTTTTCCTATCAGTGGAACAGCATCAGTTTAGGTCCTTAATAATGGGCCATGCAAACAGGGATTTAAGTATACATTATTTAAAGAGCACAGATTATTGATAGACATTCAGAGGAGATGAATGGACTGACTGGCACATAGCCATGAAGTCTTCGCCCCGTAATCCCTCTCCGTGCCTTTATACTGCTACAGATAAATAAATAAAAAACCAAATTTCACCGCAGCATGATGAGGTGCTCTCTACTTTATGTAAGAAAGAGTTGCAGGAATGAAATATTTCACCTGTTACTTTCTACAGTGTATGAATCGGTAAGCTTCTGTTTATATTCCCTTGCAGTCGCATGTGTTGTCTCTGCATGACACTTCCTCCTCCTCATGGTAGGAGGTGCAACGGCTGTTATGAAAGCAGGAGCCATTTCCAAGATGGCAAAAATATGAACCTTTTTCCTAAACTGGTCCAAAGAGAGAGCAGAAATACTTGTGGCCATTGCCCGAGGGATCCTGGCACCTACTTATACTTTGACATGTGCTCTCAGTAATTAACACTGCTAGGGCAAAAAAAATGTTCTTACTAATTGAGCATCCTGTGGTGCCAACAACAAATTATTATTATAAATGTTGTAATTTTCTTAATCTAGCTCAACCTTTACAGCTTTTGTGGCTTCTCTTCTAGTGAAATACTCTACAATACAACTTCCAGAGAGCAATAAACAACACGACGGAGCGGTGCAGAATCATGGATGAATCTGTCGGGTTGGTTGTAATCGTTGTAGGACGAGAGACAAATTATTTGTTTGCGAAAAACAAACACCCAAATCAATTCATTTCCACAATTCTGTGTGAATAGTGATGTAAACAAGAGCATTATGGGGGATTGTCATTTCTGTAATTAATGCATGTTGGCAGCTTTGGCATTAGTGTACCAAGTAAACATAGCTGGATTAATTGAAAGCAAATGTATGTATCAATTTGTCAACAAAAAGTATTTTATTTGCATTTCCTTTATAGTTTTAGTCAAAGTTGTTATTATATATATAATTATAAGAGTTGTCTATTGTCTAGATAGGAAAATTATCCTCAGTTGAAGGGCAACATAGTGCCAAATGTTTTGACTTGAAAGAAACATTCATTTAAAACGAAATACCGTCTAGCCTTGGAATAGCGACGAAAAGAGCGACGACCACCTTTTGAGAAAGGTGCCATATATTCATGAGAACTTGGCCCAAAGAGGTAAGCTTCTTTCAAATGCCAAATACATTAGTCCATTAGCACCTCCATGTTGTATAACCCTGATATCGTTGTCAACCATTAATTACAGCCTCTTCTGAAAGACCAAGAAAACATGCTAATGGCTTCTGGTTCTTTCTTCGTTTTGTCTGTAGTTTAGTTAATTGTCTCAAGTTATTCCTATTTAGTTTATTTGTTTATAGTTTCGTGGACAGTCCCCATTGATCAACTGTCACAAAAAACAGTAACAGCTGTTGTCCCCGGCCAGATGATAATAGACACCCTTAAAATCACAATATATCAACAGCATTATTGATATGCAACATTAGTTATATTCAACATTAGTTATATGCAGCATTAGTTATATGCAGCATTAGTTATATGCAGCATTAGTTATATGCAGCATTAGTTATATGCAGCATTAGTTATATGCGGCATTAGTTATATGCAGCATTAGTTATATGCGGCATTAGTTATATGCAGCATTAGTTATGTGTTTTTTAGACGAGCAAGTTTTTTTAAGGTGCTGCATTTTTAAATAATTGTATCCACACTTCTAAAGGGAAGAACCTTGTACCCACTAACAAATGGCATGTCATACAATGTGGCTTTGAATATGCATTACAGTGTGCTGAATTGAGGTAGATTCAGTTCAATCTATTCCGTATGAAGTATTTTTTAGCCTTGAAGACTTGTGAACAAATGCAGCAGTATCAGTATGCCACTACTCCCTATACTTTAACTTCAATATAACTAATACGAGCAGCAGCAACAACTTTTAAATAGTCCGGCGATTTAACATCAATTTGAAATTTAAAACAGCTATAGGCTAATGGCATATTTGGTAAAACGTTTTTTAAGCAGTTCTGCCAACCAACACTCACATCCTTCTCTTAATGTTAATGGGAGCTATTAGATGAAACATCTTTAAGGGGAACTCTTCAGCAATAAATGAATGACTGGCGGGATTTGCCAGCTGTTGCTTTTAGCTTACAGTAGAACAAAACTAAAACCTGTATGTAAACAAATAAAATGGAAACTTAATCAAAACGTAAGAGTCCGGAGAAGGAAAGTATTTGTAAAATGACCAAACAATATTTATGTACACAAATAATGAACTGTACAATACTTAAGGGCTGGTACAGCCAAAATAAGTATATAGGAAATATCATATATGCTTAATATTTGTGAGAATCCACCACTTTTATTTAACTGTTTTAATGTGACCTTTACTCAAAATATGAATTAAATATTTGACATTTAAACCCATCATCACTCATTAGCTACTCTAATTGCAATGCGTTTCCGTGTCTTCTGGGACAGCATTTATGGACCCACACCTAGTTTCATTTAAATGAAAAAATAATAACTCCCCACGCTAATAGACCTCCCTTACAAAAACAAACATGCAAAACAGTCAAAACACTCTAACAGGTTGAAGATAGAGTGGTGACTGGGGTAAACTGATGGGGGGGTTATATGTGACTGGTTTGCCAAAGTGCAACAATCTATGCACGAATAATTGATATCATAGGCTGGACTTATAAGTGAAAGTGATTCTATTCATTACATTTTTTGACAGACAGACTGCCACACAGACATAATTAAAACTATCTCTGGCTTTATAACCGAATATGGCAATTCAAACTTATCAGCTCCCGCACTGACAAGAGCCTTATTTTAGCTTTCTGGCAAATTAATAAATGACTGTGATAAAGCTAACTGGTAGGATGTACATTCACACATTAATGTTTTTCATGGCTGATTTACTCTAATAAGCGTTGGCATGGAGACGGCAGGAGTACAGCATTAGTAAATATTTGTCCTTGGTATTATTCCCTCTTCTGAATAATGAATGGTATTAAGACAACTGAGCTGTGTTCTACACGGAGAGGCTCGGCTGAACACTGTCCTTTGCTTCTTCTGGTATAGACTTGACTTGTGAGCGATAAATCTTTGATGCTGTGGTGTAAGTTCTTCCAACATCTTACTGTTGGGCCACGCTACCTTGCTGTGCTAGCAGTGATGACACACTTACCCTCAGGCGCATCAGCATCACAGATCCTTGTGGTGCTGTTCCCTGATGCAGGACCTGCTGACGGCATCTGAGAAAAAACACAGGAGGCACCAACCTGTTTAGAAAAGAATCACTTCCAACTACTTGATGCCGTACTAACATATTGTTGCTTTGAAAGAAGCGTCAAAAGTATATCTTGAAGTCTATAACACTACACAACATAAATTAAAGAATGAGACAATAACAGAAAACCACCCAAAAGTTTGAAAAATGCAATAACTAGGATTCATTTTACATTTATATTCAATTTAATATTGAATAATCAATTTCTTGCACAATTAATATATAAATACAGTAATACCCTGCATTATATTTGTTACTGGAAATGTGTATTTCCACATGTATATTTTCCACATGTATATTTTTTTACTTTTTAATGCTATTTTATTTCTATTTCAGAAATATTTTTGGACTGTTTATTTCTAGTGTCTTGATTTCTCTTATGTACATTGCCTTGTTTTTTATGCTGCTGCGACACAAAAATGTCCCAAATTGGAATCAATAAAGTACTTATCTATCTATCTATCTATCCATCTATTTGAGATCTAACAGAGGAAAATAAGCCTTTAAGTTTACATTTAACTATAAACTGTTAATTAGGGTGCACTTTAACGAGGACATCACATGATAAAGACAACCTAAAAGTTAATTAACAAAATCTCCCTGTGCACAATTCTTATTTTCCACTGCATACAAGCAACATTGTACAAGCTTGACTGGTAGAAAATGATGCATAATGTATTCAGATACTGTAGGTAAAAAGACTGCAGCAGAAAAGGCATGTTTACTTTGAGTCATACAGAAAAGGTTTTTTTCTCTCATTTAAAAAGAGTTTGTTTCAGCAAAAACAACACTGTGGTTCCTTTTAATGATGTTGTCTAAAGGGTTTTTGAGACACACAAGGGTGGATCTAAAGCACATGCAAACACACCCACACAGAGAATGCAGAGCGACATCAGTTCACACAGAGGCTATACTTTCATTCTACAGATCCACACAGTAAGAGCCCAGTATCCTAACACAGACAGACAAAACACAAGAAGAACAAGAGTCTGAAAGCCCTGCTACCAGCCTGCAGAGAACATGCTGCTGGATCAAAGTGGTTTCAACCCGCCGACTGACCGACACTGACGTCGTTAGAGCCTCAGAGTTGGCAATTATTGATGACACTAAAAAACCATAAATAAGGGGAATTGACTTCACTTTTGCTCACCTGTACGAGATATTTCTGGCTGCCATACATGACGTACTGTGGGGCCAGGCTGTAGATCATGTAGCTGGTGTGAAGGACGATCAAGAGAAGAATCATACAGAGGAAGAGGAGAGCCTGGGGGCGAGTTTTCTTGGGTCGGATTTTGTACAGCTGAAAAACCAGAACATATTGTTAATGTTGATATGGTGGTACGTTAATAGGCTAATACACAATAAGGCCTTTGCTTACCCTTATCCAGAAGAACCAGATGCCCATGTTGCGAATGCCAGCCATGGAGGTCACTACAAAGTACATGGTGATGACTGTGATCAGGATGTAGTCCAGCGGAAACACCTATGGCCACATGGGCAGAAGGTCAGTTATATCTCTCACAAAGTAAACATTATTGCTGTTAATGGCTGGTTTCCTCTCAGGGATGCTTGGAGCTGTTAAAGAGCAACTTACATCAATTACAATTGCTCCAGGCAAATTAGTCTAAAGCACATCGAGCTGGTCCAAGCACCTGTTGATTATTTTACCTAACCTTAGAATTAGCACAGTGCGTTTGAGTATTACATCAATTAAGTTCTCTCATGTTCTGATTTAACCTCAAACCTGATCCCTATGCAGTTTTCCATTCTTCTTGGTATGCGGCACTTAATTTCTTAGATATCAAGGTCATACTTCTAAACACTGGCCGTAGACATTTAATCAATGCCACTATCTATGAGGCCATTCTTTAATGTCTGAGCTGTCAGTCAATTTTTCCTCTAAACTCGGCAGTGGAATACTAAGTTTAACAGAGCGTCCGATGTCTTGCAGCAGATCAGGAGGAAAGAAGAAAAGGTCCTGATGTAATGTTGTCTCAAAAGTTCACATTTTAAAAACTCTAAGGCAATGCTAAAATCAAAACTTTATAGAGAAATAGACATGATTATAACATTTAACTGGAGAGAACACAACAGTCAAGAAAAGCGAAGGAATACATTGTGGTTCATTCATCAGACATCCATGCAAAACGTTTTGGCCGTACATATCATTTAATGAAAATTACATAAATATTGTAAATGGCAAAACAGAATATTTATGGGCGATGCAAAGATTTGTTGTACCTTATTTACATTCATCTTTGTTATACTCCACTATACTTTTACACATTTTATTTCCTAGGTGTCCAATTATGGTTACAGAGAAATGTAAATGATGAAACTTTATTGATTGACCTTTTGACCGCAAAGCGCACAGTGGTTTTAGATTAGTTAAAACAGACAGCCTGGTGATGTTAGGCAAAGTATGTCATCATCATTATTATTAAAGGATGTAAGGTTGTTGTATAACACTGTATTGTACTGTAGGGTTTTACTATTATTTGTGTCCTTCGTGGAAGTTACAATGACAATAGGTTTTTAAATACTAACTTCTGCATCACTGTGAATAAGTGGTTTCAGAATCAGATCAAGAGCTTGTTTATGAAAACAGTCTTTCTATAGTAACTATCCTGCTATCTCTCTATCGCTGCCATTTAACATCTACCATGCTCCCACTTATAGCTGTGTTAACTGTGTTTTCATTTCCCTCAGCCTTCCTCCCGTGGAACATTACATTATTTTGAATTGATATCAGAATGCAAAATCAATTGAGAGTTAATATGGGTATCATTTCCCTGTCTGTAATGTTGCTACCTTATGGTTGTTGGCTTAAGTGGTGACTGTAAGAGCATATTAAGGAGTGACAAACTGCTAATTGTTTCATAAAGCCATATGACTCATTGAATGTATGGAGCCACTTTTGCTGTTGAGATTTTGTTATTTTAAAAAGATCACCTGCACTACATTAAAGCAAATACACTTTTGAACAGATGGAATTATGCTTAATTGAGGAAGATGATGATGGAAACAAAAAAATATGTTTTTAAGCACATCTTAATTGAGGATAATCATCGTTGTGACATGACAGATGAGAGGATACTCACCGGCTGTAATACTAATAGTAGTTCATTCAGAGGGTTGGTGATGTTGGTGCCAAAGATTATGAACCCAGAGCTGATTCCAGCAGAGTGGAGAGCTTTATCCAAACTGAAACACACGGAAATACTTAAACACGTGTACTTAGGTCCAGATTTACACATAGCAGAACAGAAAAATGTTGGTTGATTTTGTGCCGTACTGCCTGACTTTTGAATTGTTGTGTTATGACTTACTTTGAAATGAACAGGGCAACAGTGAACAGCAGGGCAACCAGAATAAAGAAAATGCCCAGGGTTATCTGCAGAAAAAGCAAAAAAAACAATCCATTACAGCAGTGATTATGTTCCCCAAACAGGGAACAAAGGGATAAAGGAAGAGGTATGGCTGCTCAATTAATCGTATTTTAATCGCAATTACGATTTTGGCTTGCAACGATTATGAAAACAACATAATCAAAATAAAACTTTTTTTTTTTTTNTTTTAACAGAAATACCTGTACTTTCTACTTCATACATTTTCAAAACAGGTTTGTTACTTTAGTTTTAATCTACGTTTGGTGGCGTGATCATTATTATTTAGAGTCATTGGGTGCCTATTGATTTTAACACGATCCGTGTATCCATCATTTCCTGGTCTTCTCTAAAGAAGAGGGACCAATGAAAACGTTGTAATTTTGCCGTTGTTCAGCATCGAAGCATTAGCTAACACAATGACATTATTGTTCTATTAATATAAAGGGAGGTCATTTACTCTTTAAAACAGATGGTAGTTATGGGTACTTTTTACTTAAGTACATTTTGAAACTCATACTTCTTTACTTTTACTTGAGTAAAGAAGTTTAGTCAGTACTTCTACTTTTACCAGAGTATCTGTACTTCTACTTGAGTAGGATGTGTGTACTTTTGCCATCTCTGGTAGAGAATAAATAATCTGTCAAGAAATGTGGACAACACTGACTTAAAATATACATTTTCATTTCTGCATGTGCATTGTGAAATGTGTTATGCTCCGATGCTGGTGAGTCACTACGCAGACCTGACTGACACAATTCACCCAGTAGAGCTGGTGCAGAATTCTGACCCCATACACATTAAGAGCTCCATATTTGAATACAATCAGGTAATGTAACATGTCTGATATCATCTGTCTCCAAATGATATTCATTCTGTGCATGAAAAAGTCTGTCAGCTATGCATTTATTGTGCAATTCTTACGATTTTTGGTGCAGAAAATAAGTTTTGACAACTGCATCTATGGCTTGTAAATAAAAAAAATGCATTCAAAGCTAATGATGTGTGCTTTCCTGAGAAGGCCATGGTGATGTTATGTGTAATGTCTGTCTGTAGGAAGAGATCACATTTATTTTAGAACAATATAACTTCTAAGTCATTTACATTACATTTGGTACATTTACTGCACCAAATAAAGTCATCTTACAGCAGCTAATAAATGCAGTTTCTAAAAGAGTGTATATATATTTTCATACATTTTATGGGTCTATTTGACATTCTGTCAGATCGTATTTAGGCCTACAATGTATCCGGGTAAAAATAAAACCCAGTGACTGTTTAAGGCATTTTTGGACGTTTTCACATTAATGAAAAATAATCTCTTACAGAGCCTCTAACAAGCAGCAGTATATCATTAACCTCATTATGTCTGGTAGAGAAAAACTAAATGCACTGTAAATTCAGACGGTTATGTCTAGACAGAACTCTGCATGTGATCAATTTACATGTACTTGGTGACGTCATCAGAGTCCTCATTAATGTTAGCCTGTGTTTATTATCTTCCCCTGTATTCCCTTGTGCCATTATCCTCACTGATGGGGCCGATCAAAGTCACATCACCTCCTCCCTATCTTCCTCCTCTCCTGGTGGACCCCTCCTCCCTAGAGGCTGGACTCATACAGAGACTCTCATTGCCGAAGTGTCAGCCGTACCGCAAACCACCAGATGGGACACACAAGATTTTCCCCTAAGCCCTCACACCCTCCTTCCATTTGTGCTCTGTGTGGACCTGTCTGCCCAGAACAATCTCAACTGATCTTATCAGGTGAGCCTTCTGGAGCCACAGAAATCTATTAGGAGTCGAATGTTTCCTATCCAAAATTCAGAAATCAGATAAGAGTGTGAGAGATAACCAGATATGAGGTGAGTCAGGAAACTTTACAGTGCTTCACCTTTAACTGCAGCTAGGATCTAAACATCATGAAGGGAATGACTAACATGAGATACAAATCATCAGAGAGGTACTGAAGAGAACTTTTAGACAATTTGCATTTTTTGAGTGAATAGGACACTGTCAATCATGTTTTTTTATCTCACAAGTCCAATTCATGTTCACCATCCTCAGACAGGGATAGCTGTATTTTCATATCAGTCAAATTCCCTTCATTGGGTTTCATACATTCAAAAGTCAAAGTGAGTAATGAGTTCCACAATCAACAAACCACATAAACTTGACACAACCTCTGAAGCAGTACGAACATATTTCCTCTTTTATTTACATTCCTTTTCAAATGTTAACATTTTTCGCTATAACTTTTGATCAGGTTGGCATTTGTTCTCATTAAAATAAATTGGCACAAGTAAAACATATGTAGACAAAAGTTTATTTACACCATACAACATTTTGTTTTTAAATATTTTATACAGAGCTGCAGATGAGAGAGCTTGCTGGGATCCTTCAAGCGGATTCTGCAGTATTAAAGTTGTGAAATATATTATTTATATAAAAGTGAGTATTATCTTTATTGCATTTAAAGCAATGAAGAATGTAGCTTGACAAACATTCATTTTAATATGACAGAAAAATCCTCTTTGCCTCCCATGTTTTATATTATAAAGTAAAAAGTGTAGTAATGGCCAAACAGACTGTTATAAACTTTTTAAAAACCTGCATAAATATATACATTGTGCTCCAGGATCCAGTTTTATGAAATCAAAACTGGATCCAATGAAGCTGGGACGACATGGCATGTCATTTGCTTTGTGAGGTTTCATCTTGAGAGATTACCTTTTTTAGCCAATTCCTCAACAGATAATTTGAAACACATGATGGTAAATAATGTACACCAGGCTGCCCCACACTAAGTACACTAGTGAGAATACAAAAAGTAACACTGATGTTTTTTTTCCCTTTTTTCTTTTTTCTCTCCCCTCAGTCCTTATATTGTATTGGCACATAATGTCCCTGCCACACTCGTATAATCCAGATATGTATGCCAAGGCTGTTAGAAAAGTCTGTTGCTTTATTCAGTGCAAAATACATCTCGCTCTCCTCCTTTTTCCTAGTTTGCATTTCCTCCTTCGTCGCCCTCTAGACCTCTGTTTGGAAGTCTCCCTCCTGGACATCTAAGGGTAAGTTGACACACTTTTCCCACTCTGCAGGCGTCATCTCCAGTGAGTCCTTGGTGTCAGATTCTAGTACATTCATAGTGGCGTAATTCTGGTACTCACAGGCTGGATTGTAGCTCTCCCATGGGTTCTTGTTTGGCATTGCCTTGTCCTGTGAACATGGCCAGTGGGGTGTGATATTAGTGGCATGACTTCCTCTGCGGCTAGACTGGTATTTTTACAACGGAAGAAAAAAAAGACATTTCCATCCAAGTCAGTTCATTCAAAAGGGCATTGAATGCATTCCTTACAATTGCTAATTGAAAAATAATGGATTAATTCTATGGGAAGCATCAAATAACAAAGGATAATGACAGTGTATTAAATGTGACCATGCTTATCATGGAGTCATTAAGAAATGGTGTTTTCCCCAAGCTCAGAAATGGATGCACTGTATGGGCTCCATGTGTGAGTCATTAACTTAAATGTGCTCTCATTGACAATCTCACAGTCGCTATTACGAATAAGGAAGAGAAGCTGCTCCCAGTCACGGGGAAATAAAATGGATACTAATGTCTGCAGCCAGCTCTGTGGTACTGTAGATTCATTTTGGGGGTTAAAAAAGAAAAAAGGGCAGTGACAATATACTGTTTTTTTATATAAAAGATCTAGCACTGGTAACTAAGCAACGGGCCTCAAATGACATAGTGCTGTAGGGATGATTGAAATGTGAGTGAAAAAAAGGATCACATGCAGCCAAAAGTCTGCCTGACATTGTCTAATATGTCTGGCTGTGTTTGGTCACTAGCCCAATTCCTACTTGTTGCCTTGAATACAAAAAGCATCGCTGCTGACATGCCCAATGTCCACAGCTCCCGCCAGGTGTGGAGACAGAAGGTGGGACTTTTTGATTTGCAGCAAGATCAGAACGAATTCTCATAAAACTTTTGACTTGACAAAGAAGAAAAGTTTCCCCCTCCCACACACAGTTGCAATCATAGAAAAGTAAACTTGAGGTAATATTTGTATAGATGTTGATAGGTTAAAAAATCTGCCATGCATTAATGGAAAAATGATGGGGTTGCTAAGTAGATAAATGTGCATGTAAATAAAAGTGCATTCATGGCCTTGCATTGGAATGGATGCACTCTATTGCAACAAGATTACTAAAGGTCTTTTCCCTGACACTGACGTTGTGGAGAAAATGCTTCAGTGCCTTTTTTAGGGGGCAGCCCCCTCACTCGCCCCCCCCCCCCCCCC